CACAAATGGCTTGCGGGCCGCGAGTTTGAGACCCCTATTTTAGATGTTTATTTATTAATATTCACGATTATCTCATTTTTTATAAAAAGAATGTAAATATTTATACTTTCCCTCATCATTTTCGATGTATGCAGATGTATGCGAGATCGAATTTCAAAATAACTTAATATTACATTTTCGGTTTCGGCTTCGGTTTCGGCCGAAATTCATTTTTAATATTCGGCCTTTTTTCGGTTTCGGCCGAAAGTCATTTTTAAACCTTCGGCCTTTTTTCGGTTTCGGCCGAAAGTCATTTTAAACTTTCGGCCTATTTTCGGCTTCGGCCGAAATCAGAAAATCACTTTCGGTCGGTCTCTAATACACACCCATACACTTATACTTTATGTGAATACATTTTGATGTAAATTTTCTTTTCACTTTGGCCTTATGATCAAGTCATATGTGACTAGAGAAATCAGATAAATCTAAGCTATTATGATTTTCTCTATGAGAAAATTCAGGATAGAATAATCACTTACAAAAATTAAACGTTGTGTTTGCCAACTAAAATAGTGCATAATTTGCAAGTGGGGAAGCTATGTGTTATTGAATCTCATAGTTTATTAAAAAGTCTTTATGCATTTTTTTCTCCTTTCAATCATGCAGTCAGTATGTTAGAAGACTAACAAGACAGTACATTTCTATTTTGCATACCTGACCTATGACCTTTTTTTTTTTTAATCCTTTTAAATATTAAATTTTAAACTCATTCTTCCTCTTTTTTTTTTTTTTTTTGGTTAAATCTACTAAATTAGGCCTACAAATTTTTCAACTTTTGGCCTATACTTTTTTTTTTTTTTTTTTTTTTTTTTTTTTTTTTTTATTCCTTTTTATTTTTAAATTTTAACCTCTTTCTTCCTTTTTTTTTTTTTTTTTTGGTCAAATCTACTAAATTAGGCCTACAAATTTTTCAACTTTTGGCCTATACATTTTTTTTCTTCATGAAAATACATTTTAAGTCTGTACACACCCTATTAATGTCCTAAACCAGGCCTGCACAGCTCAAAATGTAAGGCGGGCAGTAATACTTTTTAAATGACATACTTTTTTAAATTTTCCAATCAAATAACCCTTTTTAGTTTGTTGTTGATTTTTGTTTTTTTTTTTTTTCATGTTGCGTTATTTGCAGTTTATTTAAATTATTCAAATAGTTAACATAATGCCTAACTGATTGAATTTAAGTTTTTTTTATTTTTTCCTATCAAATAACCCTTTTTAGTTTGTTGTTTATTTTTTTTTTTTTTTTTTTCATGTTGCGTTATTTGCAGTTTATTTAAATTATTCAAAGAGTTAACATAATGCCTAACTGATTGAATTTAAGTGACTTTAAATTTTGATGCAAACTGGGGCAAAAAAAAACAAAACAATTTGTATCTAATTAAAATACAGGTAAACTAGAAATGTAAATAAAATTAACAAGTGATCAAGAAATATCTCCCGCGTTCTGTTGCTCTCTGCTTTCAGATGCTGTGTTTTTATGTTGCGTAAATAGCAGTCTTCATAAATTGTTCGAATATTCTCACCCCAGCAAAAAAAGAAAATGTTACTAAAAAATTGTTACATGTGTGTGGCTTTCTGTCGGAATTTTAAGTTATTTTAACATGAGTAGACAATCCAATAAGTAGTAGCACTGATTGTCTAATAACTTAGTCGCCAAGGCCATGGCTTGTTTCCCTTTAAAGTTAAAAATCGTACTCCCTCAAAAAAAAAAAAAGTTGTTATCCGCTTGGAACTGCTTTGTTTTGGACATAAACTTCAAGACTAGTGAACGAGATAAATCCTTGAACTCATTAGTTAACACAATCGATATGTAAAACAGTTTTTTTTAATCGATTAGTTAATTGTTTCAATTAATGATTTTACTTAAACTTGGCCGACCGTGCACTCATTTAAAATTAAAGGGTGTGTAAATTGTGTTATTTATTTTGTGTCGACTATGCCATGCAACTCATCGTCAATGTCTAATGTTCCCTTTGGCCCATGAATGGATTTATTTTTTTTACAAACCAAACTTTAAAAAAGAAAAACAATATTGGGTATATACTTTATATCTATACTTGGGTATATAGGCCTACTTCATATCTATAGGGCTACTTTGTGTGTAGCAAAACCGCCTTGCATGTTGGTTTGACATAAACATAAGTGTGAAAAACTTGACCGAGATTGGCTTGACTCAAGTGAAGTTCACCACGCATTATTCTGTTTCATTGCATCAGCTCAGCATTAAAGTTTATGCTTGGCACACTATCTGTTGCAGCATTAGCTCACTGGTGGCACATCTATTCCACTGATTGTCCATCTATGCCTTGTGACACATCTAGGCCAATGGTGGCCCATCTAAATCTAATAAAATAATGGTTAGCAGCTAAAAAGTGGCAAAAATTATGAATTTACATCCCAGAACATGAGAGAAGCAATAGTCATAAACAGTGCTACCGGGCTTGGTGAGAGCTAGAAAGATGCCTGACATCTGGGAAAGGCATTGACAGTCTATTGGAGGCATCAGTTGAAACATATGACAAGTGGTACAACATTCTGAAAAGAATCATTTATGCTGTACACTGGAAATTGAATGAGAGTCATAAAGTTGTCTCACTGGGAGCAAATTCTAAAAGAACGTGTTTTGCAAGGGAAATAGTCGCAAGAATAGGGAAAACGACAATTATATTATTGAGTACATGTTCCCAAACCGAGTTAATTGCTGAATGGTTATTACTTGTAGTGCAAAAAATGTTTGAAGGACAAGAAAACTACAAAGTAATTTATTGGTATTGCTGCCTCCACGCCAGAATTGTTCCATGTTGAACAAACAACAGCGTTATGAAAACCAATATAAAACTGTAGAAAGATTTGTACAGTTTTTCGACACAAACCATTAAACATGAGATGACATATCACTGATGATAGTAGAAACATTGAAAGAACATCATATTCCACAGTCAGACTGTCGTGCACAGGGCCATGACAATGCAGCCAACATGGCTGGTAAATATAAAGGAGCACAAGCAAGAATACTTGAGTAATGGGAAACAGCTTTATTTTCACCATGCGGATGCCGCAGAGTGCACTCATGAGGACATGACATGTTTTGGAACTTGTTTAGTTCTAGTCCACAGCGATGGGAAATCTTGCAGAAGTTTATTGGCTTTTATTTTCACGGCATGTCTAACACACAATGGCCAGACCGTGTTGAAAGTATAAAGCCTTTGGTAGCCCACCTGCCAGGTATCAAGTTAGTATTAGGAAACCTCTTGGTGTTGAACTGAACTGCCAAAACAATAACAGAGACAAATGCAGCTTTGTCTTATTTTCATATCAGTCATTTGTGTGATAATGCCTGATACAGAGTATTAGTTCCAGATGATATCTCTAACAAGGTAATTTAGTCCAGAAATTCTTGATTGACTAACATATTTTTTTAATAGCTGGAAAAAGTATGTTGAGTGAAACTAAAGCATGTTTTTTCTAATTTGTGGACAGAGCTTAGAAGTGAAATTCTCTGGAACTCGGGGTGAAGCAAAACGCAATAAACAAAAATTGTTCCATGATGAAGGTGCTACAGAAGAAGCAGATTTGTCAACACAAGGTGAAATGGATGAATCTCCAGAGAAAGCATAGTTCAGAAAGGCTGCCTTCAATGTTTTATTGAATAATGTTATTGGTGTACTGTTAGTCACTGTTCGTTACAATGCTGCAGTGAACATTTCTAAGAATTTCATCCCTTGGGAAGTACCTATCCATTTCTCAAGATTAACTGAAATAAAAAATTCTGACATATCAATATCCCACTGATATCAGTGAAGATCTTGTAATGTAGATAAATCATTTTTTTATCTGTTCATCAAGCAAATTTCGGAGAGGGCCAACTGAGTACATTGAACATTCTGAATTTCTTAAAAAGATACAAGCTTTAAGAACTCTTTCCAAATATATGTGTCTACCTCGGTATTCTGCCACTGTCGCCCCTGTAGAACGCTCATTCAGCAAACCACAGCTGATAGATTTGGCAAAACTCAGTAGTGAGTATGATCTAGCAAAAACAATTCATTTTGATGATGTGATACACAATTATGCAAGGAAGAATGCTAGGAAAGCAGCTTTGTTTGACAGAATATATAAATGACATTACATTTCAAATATATTTAATTGTTATGAGCTATTAATGTCAATATAGTATTAAATTCGTTGTTTATGTATATTGTTTCATTATTGTTCAAATACTAACTAATGTGTATTAATTTTTTTATTATGTTTTACAGAAGTACCTGTAATCTGTAATATTTTAAACTAGTTGCAAGTATATTTGAATGTAATTAATAAATTGTGACGACATTATTGATGTAGGCCTGTATGTCCATGTGTAGGTGAAGGGGGCCATTTTTAGCCTTGTTCCAGCATTTAATAATCCTCTTGGCTGCCCTGAGTATAATACATGTAGAGTATTATTATTATTTTCAGTATTGAAAGCTTCCAAGCATTAGTTTTGTAAACAAATGAAGATTGTATACAATTTATAACTGGTTTAACGTTTATCTCCTGCGCACAGTGCACATAATTTTTTTTTTAATGTGTATGGTTGCCATATCTAGCGGGGACCTCTTCGGGACACTGAGGTGGGGGTGTAGAAATGAAGTAAAAAAAAAAAAAGATTTAATATAATTACTTTTTATTTAGAACACAAGTACATGGAACTTGTTGCGGCAGAAGTTACGGTGACGGTCCCGATATTCGCATATATCGGGACGGATGACAACCCTAAATGTGCCTATTTTTTTGTTGCACAACACCAAAAATGTGTACACCAAAAAAGTCACAAAGGAAATATTAGAGGGAACATTGCTCAACACACAAAAATATTAATTTTGTTTCACGTTGCTATCGTCATGTGAACAAAAAATAAGTAGCGGTAGGCTAAATGCATAAGTGGCATAATAATAATAAAATAACAAAAGCTAAATGTTAACAGTAAATTCTGATTACTGATAAATTTCGATTTTATTTTAGTACAATCTCGAATGCCGATAAATAGACTCAATAGCGACGCCTACATTTCCATTTACTTCTTCTAACTACTATAATAGTGCTACTAACACTAGTAGGCATAGTATTAACAATAACAGTAGTTAGTGAAAATATTTAGAGGCTTTAAACTAAACTCAGAGCTGAGGCTGTTATATTATTAAAATTATGGTAATGCTTATTCATCTTTTAATTATCAAACCATTTAATTTTAAATGTAAGCTAACCCCTACTTAGACTTAGTCTTAGTTAGTTACTTAGTAACTTCGACTTAGTTAACTTTGAGATTAGAACTACTTTCGTTTTAAAAACCTTAAACTTTAAAAAAATTAAAGGGATAGATAATATATATATAATATAATTACTTTTTATTTAGAACAAAATAATATATATTGAATTGACTTTATTGAGTGCTCTGCTGTGAATCAAGAGTCAAGTCAAAATAAAAGGGATGAAACTTGTGGCTGTGGAAGACCAATAATACAAACCAAATACAGAAAGATACCGAAAATCATCTAGTGACTCAAATGAAGAATTGAGATCCCTTAATCATTAGTTAATGCTGAAACTATGCTGGCACATTGATGATGAAGATCCCATCATCATTAATGCCACCAAGTTGACCTCCCAAGACGAAACTGATGAAGAGCCCAGAGTAGAGACAACAAAATTGTGGAATACCTCAAAGAGACATTTGGCCTTTGTGCAAGAAAGATCTGAGGTTGTTAGCCTGACACTGCAGCCTACTCCCACAGAAGTAGCTGATAGACCTGATAGAAAAAAGTTTGTTTCCTTGGTAAATGCATGTAGCACCATTAAGGCATTAGGACTGAAAGATAAATCTTTGAAATCTAAAACCTAAAAGTAAAAATAGCCATCTCATCAAAGGATATTAAGTAAGGTAACGGTATGAGAAACCTATTGAAATTACTTTATTTTATTTTTCCACAGCTAAGTCGTCTAGAGTGTGTGTTTCAAGGCTCACATTAAAAAGAAATCGCACCATCTATAAGATGGAAGAGAAGAGCCCCCATCTTACTTTTGGTATTATAGCAGATGTTCAATATGCAGATTGTGAAAATGGTACAGACTTCAGCAAGACACGGAAGCGCTTTTACAGAAATTCTCTGAATCTTTTAAAAGGAGCTACTGACTATTGGATATCTTTAGAGGATCCAATTTCTATGGTTCTTCAGTTAGGTGATCTTATTGATAGAAACAGTTGTTTTGGGGGTAAAGAAAGCAGTACAGAAGCTCTCAATGTTGTATTGCAGCCTTTAAATTCGCTCACTGTCCCAATATGTCATGTTTTAGGTAACCATGACTTGTATTGCTTTACACACTCTTTCTACCAGAATTCATCACTCCACAGTTCCCGTTCACTTATACCTCACAGGGCTGAAACATTTTCAGACAATATGTATTATACATTTCTTCCCCATCCAAAATTGAGAATTGTTGCCATTGATACTTATGAATTAGGGTTATTAGGATATGAAGATGATTTAGAAAATGAACATTTTCAAACTGCTCAAAGCTTGATCAAGCAGCATAATCCAAATGATGATATCACTTTGCTGGAAGGCTTCAACAAAAGATGGGCATCTTACAATGGTGGTGCTAGTCAAAAACAGTTGCTTTGGTTATCAAATGTCTTAGAGAATGCCCAAAACAATGAGGAAAATGTCATAATAATAAGTAAGTTACATTTGTTTTCGCAACATTCATACTGACATTCATCATGTCATTGATGAGCTATCCCTTTAAAAATGTTCAAATTTAAACTACTCCAGTTGTTTTTTTAAATCTTTGAAAGACATTCACAAAATTCTAACATATTCAAATCCATTTCACTTTTAAGCCACAACTCATTATGATTGTCCAACCACATGTGGTCTTGATTCGAAAAAAATGCTATATTTATAATTTAATGACCTACTGATACCTATTCTTCACACTTATTTTACTGTTATACAATACCTGTATGCCGTTTGCATTGTTCATGGATGACTTACCTGTGATTAAACAAAACACAAGATACTAAAATGTTGCACCTTAAAATAACTTACATAGTAAAATAAACAGCCAACTCTAATCACTGCATTGTATACAAATAAAATTTATTAAATTTAATTTAAAATTTTACAGTCGGTTTTAACAAAACGAACATCAAAAAAGTTTTAGATGCTCATGCCTTGCCTATATTTATCCATTTTTACCTGCCTCTCAAACCAGTCGCTTTTATAAATAAACTCTAATAATAAGTTTAAGAGTACCAGTAATTAAAGTAGAGTCATTCTATTTAGTAAAATCAATATTTTAACATCTATTGATTTTTTCATCATCAAGTTATTTTTTTTAAATGCTTGTCATTAACAAACGAAAAGGTGACATAATCTTCTCTTAGATACTTATGACTTTTCTATGCTTTGCAGGTCATGTTCCCTTATTGTGTGATGATGGCATATGCTTGGCTTGGAACTATGAGGAAATCATAGATATCATCAAACAGTATAAATGTGTTATTGGGGTGTTTGCAGGACATGATCATGCTGGTTGGGCTCATTTTGACAAAAGTGGCATTCAGCACATTACTTTTCAGGGGGTCATTGAGACACCCCCAGGGGAACATGCCCATGCTGTGGCTCGCCTGTGGAACCATACCTTATCTATTACAGGGGTGGGAAGAGTGCCCAGTTTTAATATATCCCTGCACTTTCCTATTTATGAATAAACTAATTAAGATACTTAGAATTTTACTAGTTGAATTAGTATTAGTAAGACAAAATATCCTTACATGTAGGTCTACTATGGATTCATATTTTTCGCATGGCTGCTTCTTTGTAAAAGATAAAATATAAGAACAAGGTATGCTAAACTTGAATTCATAGACTCAGGACAAAAGATAAAACTGTTGAATTTATTTCAAGTTTTTAAAATTTAAATATGATCTCAACACACAAAAAGCAGGTGTATTTATTTAGTTCAGGGAGATGGCCAGTTCACAGCAAACCACACTATTTTGGTCAAATTCAAATTAAGCATTTGTATTGTTTTACAGATACTTTATCATAAGTTTTAAAAATGTGCATGTGTAACAGTTACTGTATCATGAGTTGAAAAAATGTGTATTTGTAAGTTACTGTATCATAATTTTTTTTTAAATATGTGCCGTATCTGTTACAGTTACTGAATTATTAGTTTTAAAAATATGTATGGAACAGGAAACAGTTGAGATTTGATGCCTTCAGACTTAAGGGGCTGAAAGTGGAAATTTTACCAGCATTTTCATTTTATTTATTAATGTGTTGATTTTGTTCAATTATGGTTAATCAAAAGAACAAAGCAAAATTCCGCTGAATAAATACCTTTGGCAACTTATGAATTAGGCCTACAACTACAATTAATACATTTAATCTCTATTTTTGTTTTCTCTGGTCTGTTTTTTTATAAAATTGATTTAGGCTACCTTACTTTTTTTTAAAACTCTTTGAAATGAATGGTAGTTTATTTTTTGCTGCAACTAGTGTTAGAGTACAGTGTATTTTCTCAATCATGCAAAGAAATTATTGGACCAAAGTGTTCTCATTCTTATGTAATCTTTATAAATAAATATTAACACTGATTATTTATTAGGTAATTTAAAGTTATCTGGTAAATATGTTAAGTGGATAAGACAAGGAGATTTGGATTTTTGTAAAAATATGCTTTGTCATTGCTATAGTTAGTGAACTTCATTTAATAATAAGCAGGGTGTAATCACATTTTCTAAATTATATTTTAATTTAAAAAATTAATGAAAAATTACAATTTGCCATTCCAATTCAAGATGAATAAATTGTTATATTGTGTTTTTTTAAATTTTATTTTGTTGATTAAGATTAATATTTTTTTAAATCTTTTATAACTTTGAAACTTTAGTATCAGTATAAGTTTGGTGGGTTATTTCTATTAGTTGAGATTTGTTCTCTAACCTAATTAGTGGCTGGTGTTTGGTTGGATGACTCCAGCAGGGCTGTGCCTAAGAAAGGAGACTTTATTTAATGACAATGGAGAAGTGAAGGCAGCTAATTGATAGCAGGGCCATCCATTGGAAAAGTTATGCCTGGGGAAAAGTCTGAAAATGGTTACCCCCACTCCACCCCCAAGTTTCATCAATAATGATACACACCCACCTACGATTAATGACGATTTTAATAATTTCTTTTAACAATGATAGTGAGATTTTTTAAATACTTAAACTGCTTCATTTAACGCAGTTATCGGGAATTTCAATTCGTGGAACCAGTGTCACTATATTTCTTTCATCTTCCCCTTGAAAAACTTACTTTTAGGGGTTGGGATGGGGTTGAAAGTTTTATTCAATGCGTTGTCATCGGCAACGAGTCTATATGCCAACTTTCAGCTTGATAGTTTGATGAGAAGTGAGTCAATTAGCTGTCCGAAGAGTTTTGCAAGCCATGAACAAAAGCGACGTATTAATATAAAGGACGTGATTTTCACGTAATAATAAAAATAAAGGTAGTTCGAATGACTGGATAATTGACTTTACAAAAAAAAAAATTTGACGATTTGCGTTAGGAAATCTTTTTTTTTTGGACTCGAGAGAAGTGGTCCGTGGATCGCTGAGGAGCACTGTCTGGGGTACATCATGTAAGGGGGTCGTCCATTTAGTACGTACGCACTGAAGGAGGACGTCGGGGTTGTCCATTTTTGGAGTGTTTGTGTGCGTATGGCCGGGGGGGGGGGGGTATCGACAGAAAGTATGTAAATTTATTTAAAAATTATACAATAATCATCATGAAATTTTGACAGGCCAAAAATAGCATAGAGTCTATTTATATATGGAATGCTATAAATTGTAAAAAAAAAAAAAAAA